GTATAGCCGTTTCTTCCCATCATTTTTTTTTTCATTATTCAGTCCTGAGTGTTCCCTGGAGAGCATACTCATGATAGAAACAATATACAGTGTAAACGTTTCACGTTAGCACAAATTTAAAGGAAAATCTCCCATTTGTGCACAGATCTGCAGGTGGCTAATTTGAACCAGGGCACATCTGAAACATATCATGGAACCAACAACATTGTAGGTTTCAGAGGTCCTCAGTAAGAGTCGAGGCTGTTAGCTGAGCAGGGCCCTTGCCATCCCTCGGTTTTGGGACACCAGGAGGCTTATCTGTGGACAGGGCCGCCTGGCCGCCCCTCTGACCTGGCCGTCGCCATGACCAGTGCAGCTGCCAGCTGCTCCTACAGCTTCAGGGTCCTGCGAGGCCGTCAGAGCACAGCTTGCACAGGCAGCCGCCTGCCCACCTGGTACTGTTCTGCCCCCTGCTTGTGGCCAGTGTCCTCTGGGCCTCTCTGGGCTTCCAGGAGCTATCTGGCTGAATGGTCGGCCATCTCTGGGGTCCCAGGCAGCACTCCTGAGTTGGTAAACACATGGTCTATGCTCCTGTCTCTATTCCTCACACATGGTTCTGTTGCAGGTGTGTGGTTCAATACTGAATACAAATATTCAGAACACATATAAAGCAAAGAGGAGGCGCAATAACGCCAACAGTCAAGTGTCTACTTCCAGTTGCAGAACAGATTTCTGGGGCCAGCACTGTGGCACAGTGAGCGAGCCACGCTGCTGCCTGCCCGCCGGCACCCACGCCAGAGCGCTGATTCAAGCCCCGGCTGCTGCACTTCTGATCCAGCTCCCTGCTGATGCACCTGGGAAAGAGTGGAAGGTGGCCCCAGTGCTCAGGCCCCTGTGCTCATGCGGGAGACCAAGATGAGTTCAGGTTCCTGGCTTCAGCTTGGACCAACCCTGGCCATTGCAGCCATTTGGGAAGTGAACCAGTGGATGAAAGATTTCTCTTTTCTTCTCTCCCTCTCTGTCTCTCTCTGCCTTTCAAATAATAAATCAATCTTGGGGAAAAAGAAATAGTTTTCTGCCATCACCTTTGAGCTTCATATGCACCCCCACCCTTCTACTTCTAAGAAGTATTCAGAATTTTATCTTTCTTTGTTTACTGATACCGTGTTACCACATATATGTGCCTAAGCTATACATTGTCCAGTTTCACATCTTGAAACTTCATGTAAAGGAGATCACACTATACCATTCTGTGGTGTGTGTCTTCCTCAACCTCACGCACCAGAAATGCCCCTCCATCCACATTCAGAGCCACACACTCGGTTACACACCCAGCTGGCTACACACCCAGAGTGGGTCTCACACACAAAGCCAGTCACACACACCCAGCTGGCTACACACATGCAGCCAGCTACACACACAGATGGTTACACACACAGCCAATTACAGTTACACAGCCAGCTACACACATAGCGGGTCAAACACAGAGACAGTCACACACCCGGCCGTCAACACACAGAGCCAGTAATACACACACACACACACAGCCAATTACACAGTTACATAGCTGGCTACACAACGTAGCCAGTCACACACACAGCTGATTACACACAGCGAGTCACACACACACACAGCTGGCTCACCCACTTGCCTCCTGCAGGGGACCTGCGTTGGCCGCACAGAGCTGTTTACAAACACTGACGCTCTGAGGAGCCTTGCTAGGTCGGCCTGGGTGTGCTCAGATGACGTCTCTTGGGTATTTGTGTAGGAGGGGATATGAGCTATTTTGGCCCTGTAAAAAGTGAATTGTGTTATGATTTCATCCATCAAAATCAACACAGGAGAGAAAATCTGACTACTCTGAAAACAATCATATGAATTTTAAAAACTAACCTCAGACAATTTTATAGTTGAGTGCTACCAAAAAAATCCAAGGAACTATTTCTAATGTTATACAAACTCTTCTAGGAATACAGAAAGATAGGAACCTTCTCAATTCATTTGATGAGGGCAGACTATTTTTGAAACTAAATCAAACAAGGATAATACAAGAAAAAATACAAATCATAATTACCACATAGACACAAGACTTCCAAAATATTTACAGCCATATTCAACAATTTACAGAAAACATTACCCTTCACCAAGTTGTATTTATCTCAGGAATACATGACTGCTTCAATATTAGAAAATCATTGCATTGATAAATTAAAGAAAAACCAGATGATCAGGGCCGGCGCTGTGGTGTGGCAGGTAAAGCCGCCACCTTACAGTGCCAGCATCCCACACAGGCACCAGTTCGAGTCCTGGTTGCTCCACTTCCAATCCAGCTCTCTACTATGGTCTGGGAAAGCAGTAGAAGAAGGCCCAAGGGCCCCTGCACCCACGTGGGAGACCCACAAGAAGCTCCTGGCTCCTGGCTTCAGATCGGCACAGCTCCACCCATCACCCATTGTGGCCATCTGGGGAGTGAACCAGCAGATGGAAGATCTCTCTCTCTCTCTGTGCCTCTCCTTCTCTCTGTATAACTCTTTCAAATAAATAAATAAATCTTAAACAAAATAAGTAAAACCAACACTGTGTCCAAAGCTGTGATCATCTGCATGACAACCCAGAGAGATCTCTGGACAAATGTTCCAGATGGACATTCCAGTTCTGTGACATTGCGGGGAACCCACACCGACACCAGCCCACAGATGGGAAGCGGTGTCATAGCTGTCCATTTGCACCTAGGTCCTGATGAGGTTCAGGTCAAGAACCCACATGACCATCACCCCAAAAGTGTGATGGGAACGGACATATGGCATAACTAGCCAAAACCCCCATGAGTCCTTTGGCCCATGCGGCATGGAGGAAGGCCACGTGGAGGCCTCTGAGGCTGCCCCGCCCCCACTGAGAGAGGGCGGGGCTGGCAGAGCCTCCGACAGCCAAGAGGACACAAGTCAGGTCCTCACCACATCGGGCTCCTGTCTGTCCTGCAAACCCAGGAAAGGACCCAACACAGGAGGGACCAGCGCAGAGTCCCTGGGGAGCCTGCCCAAACAGGTGACACAGCCTCAGGAATACCAGTGTGCGTGTGGTCAACACGTTCTTCCTGCCCCACCACAGAAGGGGGTTCAGAACAGCACATGTCCCAGCCTCGCTCAGGGCAGTGCCAGCTTCCACGTGGATGCCTGTGAGGACATAGGCCCCCATCACACGGCCAGCAGTGGCCAGTAGGAGGAGCTGGTAAGACGCGTGGATCTGGGCGGCACTGCACACCTGACCAAGGTCCAGGGCTCCCATGTTACTAAGAACTTAGGGAGCAGGGGTCTGGGGAAGACCTGGGCATAGTCTGTCCGACGGCAAAGAATTGTAGCTGCTTTGTGCACCCTCTTCCCCTCCCCTGAGAAGAAAACACAGCCGCCAGCTGGCATTTTTGGTCCTAGAGACAAAGCGTCCCTCCCCTGAGGCCACTGCTGTGCCCCACAGAGGGGTCTACAAAAGACAACCAGACTGAGCAGGACCGGAGCGGGTAGGCACTCAAAGCTGGGCCAGGCCGTGGGCCCTGCAGACTCCGGAGTCCCAGGAACCGCTGGTGGGACAGCTGCCACCTGCAGCTTGTGGCAGCCTAATGTGAGTGTCACCACGCAGACACCCAGGGCAGGGGTGAGTCCGTGCCACTGCTGCAGCCCCAGATGCCTTTGGAAAATCTCTCCCTGGGGGGCTTCCGGGACCTGGCTCAGGCAGGGGCCTCCAGCCTCCTGGGGACCAGCAGAAAAAATGCAGATTCTTGTCCAAGGATATCAAAGGCAGAACTCCTTCCTGCCCGCATTTACACGTTGGAGTGCTAACCTCTGGGACTGGACGTGACCTCAGCTGGAAAACAGGCTCTTTCCAGAGGCAGCTGGGTTAAGGAGAGGACAGCCCGGCAGCCGCCAGCCCAGTATGACTGGGGACACACACAGGCAGAGAGAGAGGGCCGTGGAATGACAGCGGCAAGACCGGACGACGGGTCTGCAAGGCTCCCCCCAGCAAACCTGTGGGTGAGGGTTTTGCTGCCCTCATCACTAGCCACCAGGAGACAAAGAAATGCGATGGGGTAGAGCGGGGGGTGGGGGGGGAGTCAGAGATGTGGCACAGAGTCTGAAGGCCAACTGCTCGCATCTAATCCTTATTCCAGAGTTGAGGCAATTAACGACCCAACAATGTCCAGCATTCAGGGGTACAATGCCTGAGATGAAGCCACTAACATCGACGATGAGGCGTCTAATGCAACAGGGGTTTCCAAGAAGGCTTTGGAAGGCTCCAAGTGAGGTGCTGGCCTATTGTTCCAACTCCCACCACCCCTTCACGCTCCTGCTCCACCTCCTGTTAGTTGCACCTGCATGCAAACACCCCAGCTGGAGACAGAATGACGCCTCCTCCTGCTGGCACCCCAGCATGCCTGCCCTGCTAGCTCCCTGGCCTCCCTGCACCTGTCAGTCCCCTCTCTCCCTGCACCTGCCCCAAACTCCCTACCGCCATTCTTCTAGACGCACCCACAGAGAAAAGCAGCCAACACCTCCAAACTCAGTTTTCTGCCTCCAACCCTATGGCTGGGGCTTTGGAGAGGCCTGTATAGGTGTGATAAAGACACTGACTTGAATAAAGTTGGTAACAAAGTGTGATCTATCAGCACTCTGTCCCCTAACAGAGGTCCCACTGCACAGCACAGGAGGCACCCCTGGCCCAGGAGCTGTGGGCACATTCAGAAGGGGCTGTGTCTCCTCCCTGGGCCCAGAAAGTCCAGACTCCCCTCTCTCCCACCTGTCCCCTCATGTTCCTCAAGGCAGAGGCAACCTTCCTGCAGCTCCAAAGCCAGGCTGCTGCCTGCCCATCATGTAGCCTCCCCAAGTCTGCCCTCCCCACCCCGCAGCCTCCCCGAGTCTGCCCTCCCCACCCCGCTGCCTCCCCAAGTCTGCCCTCCCCACCCCGCTGCCTCTGCCCACGGACGGTCCCCGACAGCGTCTGGGCCAATCCTGCAGCCCAGCAGACGACGGAGCCTAAAGGACAGTCCCACGGCGGGAATTCGTCTCCCCTTCTGCTCTAGGCCCTTGGAGGCGTGTGGGTTCCTGGGGTGAGCAGCTCAGCCTGGCCATGCCATTCTGGGGGCTCACCCCACCCCCACCCCCAGTCCTGGTCGTGTCCCCTGTGCACCGGCACTAAGACACACCTGTCAGTCTCCCAAGGGCTCCCACGTGCCGTTCTTGCTTCCAGATCGCACTCCCCTGGCCAGGGCAGGGCAAAGCCACTTTCTCCAAGGAGACTTCCTACCTCCCCAGTCAGGATGACGGCTTCGTGAGATTCCGTTTGAGACACTCAGCATGAGTCACCAACATGTAACAGCCATATTCTTCAATCAGAGATTCAGGCGTTGGGCCTGGAACCTGAGCCCGCACTCCGGAGCCTGCTCGTCTGCCCTTGCGCCAGCAACTCCACAGGTTGCCCCCCAGGCAGCTCCACTCTGCATGCAGCTGGTGCCAGACACTAACTTGTTAGCAGAAGTTTCAGTTAGTTATTCAGGGTTTCTGAGAGGAACTGCATACTTTTTAAAGGCAGAGTTACAGAGAGAGAAAGGTTTTTCCATCCACTGGTTCACTCTCCTAGTTGGCCCTGATAGTCATGACCGGGCCAGCCAGAAGCCAGGAGCTAGGAATTCCATCTGGGTCTCAAATAGGCACCCAGATGGGCTGCTAGCATCGCAGGTGGCAGCTTTACCACTATATCACAATGCCAGCCCCCTTGTCTCCTTGTAAAAATGCAATTACTTGGAACCGGTGCTAGTTCAAGTCCCGGCTGCTCCAATTCTAATCCAGCTCCCTGCTAATGCACCTGGGAAGGCAGCAGATGATGGCCAAGTGCTTTGGCTCCTGCCATCCACATGGGAGATCCAAATGGAGTTCCAGGCTCCTGGCTTCAGCCTGGCCAGTCCTGGTTGTTACAGCCATTTAGGGAGTGAATCAGTGGATGGAAGATTTCTCTCTCTACCTAATACTCCTTTAAATTCTTTAAAAAAAAAAAAAAAAAAAAAGGTGGAGGAGGAACCTGAGGAGACAGCAGGCTTAGCAGTGGATTGCTAACAAAGGGATTTCAGGCCCCAGTAACCGGGGAGCTTGGAAACATGATGCCTTTGAACATGCTGTCTCTTCCTCCTTTAGGGCAAGAATATGCTACCCGTGCACACCCAGACCATCAGCACAGCAACCCTCAGTAGAGGGCTCCCCTGCCGCAGCCAGAAGTGCCCTGAGCTCTTTCCTGGTTGGACTTTGCACTCAGACATGGACCGGCCGTTCCCTGTGTCGCCGTCACCCAGGCACCTGCTGTCAAAACTCAGCGCTTCCCCTGGCCTTTCCTGCCAAAAACACCGCATCTAGCTTCTTAAAAGTTATGGTTGTCAAAACAAAGACCCTCCTGAACCAACAAGAAACCACATATCTGGCCAGACAGGGGTGGGGGGCAGTGAGGGGAGGGCACCCAGGCTGCTCCAGTACATGGAGACAGATGGAGGCATCCAGACAGGACAGACCTTGTGGGCAGCTGTGGGGGTCAGGCTGGCGTGAGGCATGCTGGGCATCGGAAGTAGCACCATGGATGGAGTTCTGATTAGCCCTGAGCCGCTGCTGTGGGCCGAGCCCTCGGGCCAGTGGGGCTGTGAGACACAGGCCAGGTCTCTGCTGCACGACGTCCCTTTCATAGCACAGGACTGACCTCTGAGGCAGCGCATACAGCCAGAGCTCCTGCTCTCCTGTGAATGAATCTCAGGTCCAGCGGGCACACACTCCATGCTGAAAGTCAATGTCAAGTTCCTAGTCTATGGGGCAAGTCAAGGAGGCGACACTGCAGGAGCACGGGGCAGTGAAAGACCAGTGGGTGTGAGGAGAAAGCGGGGGGAGACAAGGGCACGTGGTCCCCAAGGCGCCAGGTGGAGGAGGGTGGGCTGTGCCGGGGTTGGTTACGGGCACAGGTGGTCTCAGAGCTGATCGGCAGCAGTGGATCAGCCCAGGCTGGTGGGAGCGGTGCCAGAGGCTTCACCACGGACCACGCGCTGTGGGGCCCTGGCCACCTACTGCTCCCAAGCGGTGTGGCTGCTCGAGAACCTTCCTCCAGCTTACAGATCAAAATTCGCTGCAAGCCTCCCATCGCTCATGGGGACAGTACTGGCTTACCATGTCATGCAGCTCTGCCCAACGCAGACACACTCCTCCTCCTCCATCCCAGCACTGCTGGTGGCTTGGACGGAACTGCCACGGGCTTCCAAGTGGCTCAGGGACCCCTGGAGGTACCCACGACACGCAGGTTCATGAGGTTGTCAGGATGTCCGCGACTGTCCTCACACGTCGTCTGCCTCTTTCACTGGCTGACACCTGCACAGATGGTGGAGACACAGCAGTGAGAAACCCCACTGGGGCCTCAGCAGGGAGTCCCAGGTATCGAGCCCCTCACGGTCTCACACTCATGGGCAATAAAAGACCGGTCTCCTTTAAGAAAGTCCTTGAGGAAGGAATAAAATGGTTAATATTTTTTAAAGCTTGACCCTCGAGACTGTCTTTTTGGCCATCTAAAATGGGACAAATGCACAAAGTGCCCCTGCTGCTACTGCAGTCAGGAGTCTCTCCGGGAAAAGCCCTGTGCTTGCGGTACGGTTCAAGGTGAACCTGTCACTTCTCTTCCTGGAACACTCACCCCGTTTGCAAGGACGGCTGGGAGGCAGTCTGGCTGTTCAGACAGCATTTCAGGCAGACCTCTCCTCTAATCAACAAGTCCTTCAGCTCAGGAGTAACTGACAGTACTTCTTGCTAAGATAAAATTGAACTCTCGAGCAAAAACTGGAACTTTGGAAAGCAAGTATCAAACGGTGTGAGATTGGTGATATTAAATGTAATTTTTAAATGTTGGATAACTAAATGTGCTGCCATTTAGAAGATCTGCATGACTCAAAGAATCAATACTTTCCAATGAACAAGGCATAAGGTTACAAACCACGCATAGCCAAGACGCATCCAGCATGCAAACACACCCGTGGATCGTGGTGTAACAAACACTCCAGTCGTGGGGTTTCACAGTCCACATGGCAAACAACTGTAAGCAACCCCACTGTCAACGTCTAGTGCAGTATCAAAGACTGACCACAATTATCTAACAGGCATCCATTCTCCAACCATGCATCTGTGTGATGCAGAATTTTCTTTATAAAATTCAACCAAAATGATGCAGCTCTGAACAGAAACAAATGGGAGAATTCAGTTGTCTTAAGAAATTTGTAGGGCTGGCATTATGTTGCAAAGGGTTAAGCAACATTCTGTGATGCCAACATCCCATATCGGCGCCACTTCCGATCCAGCTCCCTGCTAATGCACCTGGGAAAGCAGTGGAAGATGGCCCAAGGGCTTGGGCCTCTGCCATCCATGTGGGAGACCCAGATGGAGTTCCTGACTCCTGACTTCAGCCTGACCCAGTCCCAACTATTACAGCCATTTGCGGAGTGAGTCGGTACATGGAAGATCTCCTCTGTCTCTCCCTCTCTCTGTAATTCTGCCTTTCAAATAAATAAATCTTTTTTTTTTTCAAATAAATAAATCTTTAAAAATAGGTAAACCACAGAAAAAAATTTCTCAGTATCTTCAATATTTTTTAAAAAAATGTAATATACAAACTTTAATAAAGGTAATAGGCAAGCCTATTATATTATATATAAGGCAAGCACTTATACTAAGAGAAGAACTGGGGACTGGCACTGTGGCTTAGCCAGTAAAGCTACCTGCAGTGCAGGCATACCATATGGGCACTGGTTTGAGACTCAGCTGCTCCACTTCCGTTCTAGCTCTCTGCTGTGGCCTGGGAAAGCAGTGGAAGATGGCTCAAGTCCTTGGGCCCCTGCACCCACGTGGGAGACCCAGAAGAAGCTCCCAGCTCCTGGCCTCAGATTGGCCCAACTCTGGCTGTTGTGGCCATTTGGGGAGTGAACCAGCGGAGGAACACCTCTCGCTTGCTCTCTCTGCGTAACTCTGCCTTTCAAATAAATAAATTTATCTGAAAGAGGGAGGGAGAGAGAGAGAACACTGCCTAGAGGACATTTTATCTTAAACCCCTTAGAGTAACTACGGGCAGCTGCCTTTAACTGAGTTCTGCTGCTGTGAAAAATACAGCTCGTGCAGGTATGGATGCGTGATCTGCATATTTTCCAAGTATTCACTGAAAGCTACTTTACACATTAAATGTGGGCAGATATATTTCACTTTTGTGGCCCTTTTGGAAGAGGTCATCTGAAGAGAAGACTACGTGGCTCTGGCTCACGACTCAAGTAGTGGATTCACCCTGGACCTGGTGGACACCAAGTCTCCTGCCTTCCTCCTCAGACATCAGGAGGGTTTGGGGTGCTTGTCTGGGGAGTTTTCTGGGTAACAGATCTGCTTGCAGGCCATCCTGCCCATGCGCAGTGGGCAGGAAGACTGGAGCACGCAGAGCAGGTGCGGCAACCTCATGTCCACCTCTGGCCAGGCAACGACTCGGCTGAGACCAACCAGGGTCCTCGACAGTTTTAAACACATAAAGGCGTACGTGACACTAATTCTTGTGTCAACTTGGCTAGGTCACAGGAGGCCCAGATAGCTGGTGACACTATTTCGGGGTGTGCCCGGGAGGGTGTTTCCACAACAGAACAGCACCTGAACTGCTGGATTCAGTGCAGCGGGCTGCCCTCTCCGGTGTGGGGCGCAGCCTCCAATCCTCTGAGGGCCTGCCTGGAACCAACAGGAGGCAGCATGGATTCACCTGCCCGCCCGCTGAGCTGCACCGCCCATTTTCTCCATCTGTGGACTGGAACGACACCACCAGTTCTCTGGCTTCTCAGGCCTTCAGGCTCATCCTGAAACTACACCACACAGGTCAGGGGCCTTCTCAGCCTCCAGGACCACTTAAGCCAGCTCCTCGCCCCTCTCTCTCTCTCTCTCTCTCTCTCTCTCTCTCTCTGGCAGGTCAGGGGCCTTCTCAGCCTCCAGGACCACTTAAGCCAGCTCCTTGCCTCTCTCTCTCTCTCTCTCTCTCTCTCTCTCTCTCTCTCACACACACACACACACACACACACACACACAGATGGTCCTTGACTCAAGAATTCAACTTGGAATTTTTCAACTCTACAAAGGGACAAAAGCAGCAGACGTTCAGTAGAGGCTGCACTGTGAGTTCTGATCGCTTCCCTGGCTGGCAGTGTGGCGCGATCCTCTCGCAACGCTGAGCAGCCACAGCGGGGAAACTCGGCTCTCACGAGGGTAAACGACAGATACCTTACAGTGGACTGTGGTGCTAAGCTATATGTTCTGTATGTGTATTAAATGCACTGTGACTTAGGACATTTTCAAGTTACTATTGGTTCATCAGGACATACTCCCCCATGAGGGAACTTAAAAAAGCTCACGGGAAAATGAAATTAAAATATGTTAATTTTGGAGCAAATTTTTTTTTAAATCCATGCAATTTTCTGATGTGTATTTTCTTTTTATTTATTTATTTTTATTTTTATTTTTTTATTTTTGACAGGCAGAGTGGACAATGAGAGAGAGAGAGACAGAGAGAAAGGTCTTCCTTGTGCCGTTGGTTGACCCTCCAATGGCCGCCACGCTGCGGCTGGCGCACTGCTCTGATCCGATGGCAGGAGCCAGGTACTTATCCTGGTCTCCCATGGGGTGCAGGGCCCAAGCACTTGGGCCATCCTCCACTGCACTCCCAGGCCACAGCAGAGAGCTGGCCTGGAAGAGGGGCAACCGGGACAGAATCCGGCGCCCCAACCGGGACTAGAATTCGGTGTGCCGGCGCCGCAAGGCAGAGGATTAGCCTATTGAGCCACAGCACTGGCTGTGATGTGTATTTTCTGTGAACTTTGTGAAAACTCCTATTTGAATGCATCTACAAAAACATCCTACTGGCTCTTCTGGGAAATGCTAACAAAGCATGCAGGACCAAAACTTTTGAGAAATTATTGCTTCATGAAAACTAAATTACTGTTTGTCCTAAATATGTATCATTTCTTTTTTTTCCCCAAAGATCTCAGCCATCATTGCCAGGTTCCTTCCATTTATTTATTTATTTATTTGAGAGGCAGAGGTACAGATGGAGAGAGGGAGAGACAGAGAGAGAGAGAGGTCTTCCACCTGCTGGTTCACTCCTCAAATGGCCACAACAGCCGAAGCTGGGCCAATCTGAAGCCAGGGACCAGGAGTTTCTTCCAGGTCTCCCATGCAGGTGCAGGGGCCCAAGGACTTGGACCATTTTCTACTGCTTTCCCAGGCCATAGCAGAGAGCTGGATCAGAAGAGGAGCAACTGGGACACGAACCGGCACCCATATGGGATGCCAGTGCTGCAGGTGGAGACTTAGCCCACTATGCCACAGCGCTGGCCCCAGTTGGTACCATTTCAATCCATTCGCTTTACAGAATAAGAAACAAGCCTAGAGCAGTTGTAAAGGCAGGCCAAAGTGAGCCAGACAGCTGTAATAGGAAACAAACTCTCCACACAGGCACTGCCCATCTGCCCTGAGCTACTTCCAATGGCTGGCTTTCATAAACGTGGTGAGGTCCTGGGGCCTGCCCACAGGAGAAGGGCTGAGTTGCAGCCTTCCCTCTCATGCGCTGTAGCACCAACAAACAGCTTGACAGCATGTCGGTTCTCTTCAGCCTCAAGTTCAGAGAACAGAAAGGCTGAGGTTACGAGCCCGGGCTTCAACCTGGCGGATGCCAACCTACACCTGCCTTGGGCAGGAAGACGTGGTCCCGAGCACCAGCTCTGCCAGCCACGCCGTTGCATCCCCGGCTTTGCCATCACACAGACACCATTAGAGTGCTTCGTCAGGCTACAATTTAAAGTAGATCCAAGGAGCTTTTAACAAGCCAAAGGGTCCCTGGTAGACAGGAAGCCGCTATGTGTAAGTCAAAGAGCACCATGTTCTCTCTATAAAAAATGTGCCGTAGTTCCAGGGAAAACCATTCATTCCAGTTCTGGCTCAAAAATTCCTTTTCTCACCACTTTGCATGAACGAGCACACGGGATTTGGTAACAGAATACAGCTTTGCCACCACCGCCTCAGCCACTTCGTGCTAGGAAGTGCCGGCTGACATTCCACACAAACACAGCTGACGTTCCACACAGACACAGCTGGGGGCGGAAGGCAGAGGCAGTCCTGGGTGTTGACGTCATCTCAGACATGTGGGCGGGAGGAGGCGCACACCACCCACTCTCCTACCCTGCCTGAAATGTCAGCTACACAGGAACCCCACATGTGTTTATGAGACGACCCCACGCTTTGCATCACTGTAGCTCAATCCCATTTTACAAGCAGCAGCAAAGCTGTGCTGGTTCTTACCCACGTCGGTGGAGTGGAGAGCCGAATGACGGATGCTGGCTGTCAGCTTGGTTGAGGCTTTCAGGAAACCCAGGCATTAACCAAGTGTCTTCTAGAGCACACAGCAGATATAAGTCACCTAAAATCTAAGAACCTGAGGATATTTCCCTTTGGGGAAAAAAAAATCCCATGATACAGTTACAGAACGTATTTATTTTGCCTTACCACTTTCAGTTTTACCATCACGCGTGACACTATAGAATTAGCTAAATCCATTCTTCAGGGCTGGATTCTCTACAGAAAAACTCTCTTCCGGGAAGAAGCTTGTGTGGAAGTATATTACGGAATCAAATTAGCGAAGGGTACGTGTGATGCTATCCAACAAGGTAGCAAAGATATCTTTGCTGTGTTGTGGAATCTTGAAAGGATACACGCACGTAATAAAATCTCCAGTTTAAATTGTGCCGTTATATCTACAATACACACATGTCCAACTGTGAAATCCTCTCACGTTACTCTCATTCCTGACTGAGGGAACACCATCATCGCAGGGACTCTCACACAACAGGCTTCTTGCCAACAGTGGGGCCCCTGACATCCCAAGGTATCCATGCACTGGACAGCGAGAACCTTCTCAGGACGCAGCTAACTGGGCGAAGCCACCCCACCACATCCTCCAAACTTACTTGTCCCATTCCCAGTTAGAAGAACACAGCTTGGAAAGCGTATACTCAAGTCACAGGGTCTGGGACTGATCTCTGTCAACTGCCATGGAACTGATTCGAGTAAGCTGGTTCAGCCCTCCAAGTAGGGGCAGGAAATGGAGCCGCTGCCTCCCCAGCCCTGCCCCATTCAAACTGGGGTGTTCACACCAGGACTGCTCTTCCCTCTAAGTTCTGAAGTGGGCTGTGGAGTCACTGGACGTGTTCTTCCCTCCTGAATCACAAACATGGATGGAGTTTGTGTTGGCTTTCAGCACAGAAAAAAAGTCCCTTCAGATTCAGATTAAAGATAAATATATAGACACTTCCCTCTATACCTGAATACAGACACTTACCTCTGTTATCCCAAAAGCCCGGTGAGACGGGAACGAAGTAATTTTCTTTAAAGGCATAGGGTACCTGTATTTTAAAAGGTGAGAGTCAGAAAGAAGAGTTTCTGTGTTCATATACCTACAGACAGCCAATTCCTAAGCTGACAGTGGGGACAGCGATTTGTACCACAAAGACAAGCACCTGATCTCTCGCGCCAAGTCCCCCAAGGACAAGACTTGGCAGCACCAGCTACTCTGCACATGGCAGTGAAGTTGGGGAGAAAAATCAGTGAGTCTGTTTAAGAAGCGGTTTGACTCGCTCATAATGAAATGCAAATTAAGACGATACTCGGATGCCACGTCTCACCTATTGGACTGGCAGAAATCCAGCATTTCGATGATATATTCTGTTGGCAAAGCTGAGGGGAAACGGGCACTCGAAGATTGCTGATGGGGAGGCAGAATGCTGCAACCTCTCGAGACAGGAATTAGGCAATTAAGCAAAATCACAAACCCATTTACGCCTTCATCACAATCTCTCTTTTAGGAATCTATCCTAATTACATACCAGCAAGAGCATAAAAAGAAATATGCACAGGACTGTTTAGCACAGTACTGCTGTAAAGGCAAAACTGAACACAGCCTTAGCAAGGGGCTGGCAGGGCATATGCACAAGGGAGCCCTAGCCACTGTGGGAGAGGGGGAACGAGGAGCTCCGCTCTGTTTTTAGAAGTGGCTTCTGGAATACATTGAGCTAAAAACAAAAGAAAAAAGGTCAAGGGTGTCTAGTACGTAGCCATTAACCTAAGAAAAGGGAAATTAATGTGACACATCGTTTCCTTCTTTTTCAATAGAATAAGCCTACAGAATTTTCAATAGAATTTTTTTAAGTTATTACTTATTTTGGAAATGAGGAATTATGTATTTTTTGAACATATATTTCTTTAAAATTCAATTTTGGCACTATATAAATATAATTCCCGGGCCAGCGCTATGGCGCAGCGGGTTAATGCTCTGGCCTGAAGCACCAGCATGTGCTCCACTTCCAATCCAGCTCCCTGCTATGGCCTGGGAAAGCAGTAGAAGATGGAGAAGATGGCCCAGGTGCTTGGGCCCCTGCACCCACGTGGGAGACCCAGAAGAAGCTCCTGGCTCCTGGCTTTGGATCGGCACAGCTCCGGCCATTGTGGCCATCTGGGGAGTGGATGAAAGACCAATCTCTCTGTCTCTACCTCTCTCTGTGTAACTCTGACTTTCAAATAAATAATTCCAGAAATACAGAGATTTTAAAAACAATGCCTACTCATCAGTGCTAAAATTAAACAAATGTATCTGATTATGTGTCCAATTAGGGGAAACGTATTCATAGAGAGAGAACTTTGTACTCCTCTAATAGAATACAAAAGGTCACAAGAACTACAACAAAATCCTAAGCTGTTTTCAAGGATCACATTGACGGTGGTACTTCTTGAAATGTGGATCTAAGAGCACTGTGACCCTACTGTTGGTTGAAGCAAATGAGTGCCCACAATGGAGTCGCTGAGAACTCAGACTTTTGGCTTGGTTCCAAGGATATACAGACACAAGACCAATGAGCTGAAGCCCAAATCCTGAAGTCCTGCATCTGAATCGGAATGAGCAGTATGAACTCATGCTTGCCCTTTACAAAAATACATCACTATATAAAACAATGATCAGTGACCAAACTCATCAGCAGTGACACCCCTAGGAGCCAGACTCTGCTCTCCAAACTACCGTTCTTCACTCCAACAAAACCTGAGTCCTTGGGAAAATGGCTGATTGCAGAGGAAGTGCAGGAACCACCTAACACATCAGCGAGCCAGGGAGTTAGCCGAGCACCGCAGTCAGGCAGCACCCAGGACGCGGCTGGACCCGCCCCAGCAGCCAGGCAGTGTGGCACCAGTACGGAGCATCACCCCATCAGGCTGAAACACATCACAGGGCACTATTTTCATAAACTCTGATTAGTTGTTTTTAGAAGATGCTTGTTATTTTGAGGACTGGTACACAACAAGGGAAATCCGGTAATTTTTCCCCTGTTCTTATTCAATCTATGTAACAAAATAATAAAATAAAATAATCTAGCTGATAAAAGAGAAAGGAATTTAAGAATTAAAAGCATTACTTGTACAAACCCTTTATGAATGTAGGTAAGTACCATCCATAGCTAATGACATCTCAAAAAGAGAGGCAATCAGACAGCACATATATCCTGAGGGGAGCAGCCGTGCCCTCTATAAGGAACCTTGTTAAACACAGATAAACCTGAATTGAATCACATCCTAACAGAAACATCCTATGAAAAGAGCCAGCTACAACGACAGGGAAATCAGCAACAGCAGCACGACAGCTGTGGCGTCAGCACTCCTGCCACTCCACAGGACAGACAGAGCAGTGCACAAAACACTCACAAGATGGGGGGCGACCCACGAGAGACGACACTTAACACAGGCCTCCTGCAGATCCAGCCCGGGCAGGCCAAGGGTAAGGACGTGCTTTATCTATCTATCGTTTTATTTTTATATAAATATATATTTTGTATATATTTTACATATATATATAAAACCTGAGATACACGTTACTGCACCATTTTCATCATAATTCCCTATTAATAAAATTAAACATCTCATCCACAGAACTGTTTTAGGTGCAATGATGATTATCACGTGATATCCGCACCTTGCTTCAAAATAACCCAGGGGATGGGATTGGATATGGAGAAGTTTTTTAAAAAATCTGACATGCAATTGGTGAATACTCACCCACAATAAAAATCCAAAAGGAAGTAAGAAGCAGACAGAGCCTGGGATCCCCATGCACACTCTGGTAGACAACTGTTATGTTCAGGGGTATGTGAACTAGGGGTTCCCTGAAAGCACAGTAAACAGTGACACTGTTGAGTGCAAAGCTCACATCTTTTTTCTTCAAGTTTCTTAAGAGAAGACAGTAAAACAACACCATCATAAATGAGATGAGAAATTATTTACAAACTAGATTCTATCCCCAAATTAGCAAGCAAGTATGGTAATAGTTTTCCAACACTAAAGATATCCCCAAATCAACTTTGCATGCAACATTGATATAAAATTTGTGGTGTCCATCATCTATCCAAAAATATATCCAAGGGGCTGGCATTGTGGCATAGCCGCTTAAGCCACTGCCCATGATGCCAGCATTCCATATGGGCACCAGTTCATATCCCAGCTTCTTTATTTCTGATCCAGCTCCCTGCTAATGCGCCTGGGAAAGCAAAAGATGGGTCAAGTGTTTGGGCCCCTGTGCCCACGTGGGAGACCTGGATGATGCTCCTGACTTCAGCCTGGCCCAGCCCTGGCCACTGCAGCCATTTGGGGAGTGAACAAATGGAAGATATCTCTCTCTAACTCTGCCTTTCAAATAAACAATTTTTAAAAATCTAATCAAATTTTTAAAATAATGACGATATTACTAGGACGACAGAAGAAAATATGACCACTAGCCAGCAGAAAACACAAAATAGTAGGGGGGGAAATGGAGAATTGAAGAAGCAACAAGAAAATATCAAGGGGCCGGCACTGTGGTATAGCAAGTAAAGCCACTGCCTATAGCGCTGGCATCCCATATGGGTGCTGGTACAAGTCCTGGCTGCTCCACTTCCGACCCAGCTCTCTGCTGTGACCTGGGAAAGCAGCAGAAGATGGCCCAGGTCCTTGGGCCTCTGCATCCACGTGGGAGACCTGGAGGAAGCCCCAGGTTCCTGGCCTCAGATCAGTGCAGCTCTGGCTGTTGCAGCAATTTGGGGAGTGAACCAGCAGATAGAAGACCTCTCTCTCTCTCTCACTCTCTCTCTCTCTCTCTGCCCCTCTTCTCTTTGTGTAACTCTGACTTTCAAATACATAAATAAATCTTTAAAAAGAAAAAAAAGGCCAGCGCCGCGGCTCACTAGGCTAATCCTCTGCCTTGCGGCGCCGGCACACCGGGTTCTAGTCCCGGTCGGGGCGCCGGATTCTGTCCCGGTTGCCCCTCTTCCAGGCCAGCTCTCTGCTGTGGCCAGGGAGTGCAGTGGAGGATGGCCCAGGTGCTTGGGCCCTGCACCCCATGGGAGACCAGGAAAAGCACCTGGCTCCTGGCTCCTGCCATCGGATCAGCGCGGTGCACTGGCTGCAGCGCGCCGGCCGCGGCGGCCATTGGAGGGTGAACCAACGGCAAAGGAAGACCTTTCTCTCTGTCTCTCTCTCTCACTGTCCACTCTGCCTGTCAAAAAAAAAAAAAAAGAAAAAAAGAAAATATCAAGCAGGCTAATGTGTACTTGGAGAGAAGTAGGGAACAGGAAATTATTGAAGAAATAATGGCTGAAATTTCTTCAAATCTGAATAAAACCAAAAAGCACCACGTTTAAGAATTCCAGTGAAACTCAAGCAGAACATGAACAAAACCACACCCAAACGCACCCAATGAAATTGCTGAAAACTAATGACAAAGGGGTCGTGAAAGCAGCCAGACATATCAAAACAGGAATGACCAGAGTCAAAATAAACAAACGTAAAATCCTAAAGGAAAAATACCAACCTAGAATTCCACGTCTAGAAAAAAAAAAATCATTCAAAAATGAAGGCAAATTATTCTTTCAGATAATAAAAAACTCTGAGAAAATTCCCAAACAGCAGATAAAGAGCTCTTTAGGAAAAAGGAAAATTATGACACAGAAATTTGAACCAAAAAAAAAAAAAAACTACAAGAAATTGAAAATTTTCCAGGACAGGCATTTGGCATAGTAGTTAAAAGATGCTGTTTGGATACTTGCAACCATACTGGAGTGCCTATCTGTCTACCTGCCTTTCAAATAAATAAAATAAAATTTTAAAAGAGAAAAAAGAGGCCTTGCTTGGGCCTTTTCCCTTAAGACACAATTTCCCCTCATTTTTAAATCCTTCAAAATGTTAACTAACAGTTTAAAACAACAACAAAGAGTACAAGTTAGTGGTGGGGTTAAACATAAGTACAGGTAAAATGTTTACCACAATGGAGGAGAAATGGAGTCATTTCATGAATGGAGCTATTCATAAATGGTTCCGATACTTCTTGAAGGTAGATGATACATTAGTTAATAAATGTATAAAAAACACTTGACAAAATTTAACACCTATTCATCTTTTAGAAAAATAGGTTTACAATGAGACTTCCTCATCCTAAAAGCTATCTACAATCTACAGTTAGAACTACAATCATTGTGAAAACCTGAATGTTTGCTGTTTAGATCAGGAGCAAAGCAAGAGTGTCTGTTCTTAGCATTTGCAGTCTGTGTTCTACTGGAAGTCCCAGCCAGCACAACAGAGCGCAACAAGCAACAAAGGCATCCAGATGGGAAACAAAGTAAAAGGGTGCTTATTTCTAGACAATCCAAAGGAGAAAATGCCAGACCAGCTACCACAACTCTCAAATAAGTTCAAAAAGGTAGGATACAAAGTCCAGACAGAGCAAGAAAGTTTCTGTGTTCTAGGAAGAACAGGTAGAAATGAAGCCTTTAAAATTCTACAATCTACAACTGTTTCACAAAATATAACGTGTAGGCATAAATTTAATAAAACATATGGGAGGCCTATTATCATGAAAATGACAAAATATCAAGAGAAATTTGTATGAACAAATAGAACATGGTCATGGATCAGAAAACTCAATACTGTTAAGGTATCAAGTTCTCTCCAAATTGATCTGTATATTCAATCCCATCCCAATCAAAACTGAACATTTTTTGTTTCTGTAGAAATTGACAAATTGATTCTATAATGTATATGAAAATGGAAAAGGAGCTAGACTAGCCAAAGGATTTTTAAAAGAACAAAGTCGAGGACCTGCAATGCATGATTTCAAGACAAAACAAACAGCTATAATGAGAAGACATGTGGAGGGGTGAGGGGGACAATGAGTGCTATGGTACAGCAATTTAAGCTGCTGCTTAAACACCCACACCCCCACATGGAGTGCTGCCTTGATTCCTGGTTCTTCCACCTTTTTCCCCTCCAAAGATGGATGGATAATTAATCTATTTGATGAAAGGAAGAGCAACAGAGAAAGGCAGAGAGAGAGCGAGCGAGCGAGCGAGACATCTGCTTGTGCAGGCCAAAGTTAGAAGCCCGGAATTCCATCCTGGTCTCCCACATGAGTGGCAAGTGCCAAACCACTTGGGCCATCATCCACTGTCTTCCCAGGCACATTAGCAGGAAGCTGGATTGGAAGTGGAACGCTCAGAACTCAAAACTACCAGTCCAACATGGGATGCAACAGTTCTAAGCAGTGGCTTAACCTATGGTGTTAACCTATCTGCTACCGTGTCTGAAAAGGCAGCAATGATGGTCCCAGCACCTAGGTTCCTGTTATCCACACAGGAGACCCAGACAGAGTTCCTGGCTCCTGGCTTTGGCCTGCCCAAGCCCAGGGTGTTGTGGACACTTGTGGAGCGCACAAGATGGACAATCTGTTTCTCCCTGTCACCTTGCCTTTCAAATAAATAATCTTTAAAAAGACTAAGAGTACCCCAAAAAAAACCAAAACCAAACAAACACAGCCCGTCTGAATGTAAGGGTGGTGGACAAACATCAGTGGCACAGACTCCAGAAACAGGACTACATCTGAAGAACAGCATTCTGACAAAAGTGCAAGGTAATCCCAGGAAAAACGGGAGTTTTCACTACATAGTGGGATAATCATGTTGGCGGGAGAGGGGAAAGGATGGACAAAAATAGCGTGAATTCTCATTTCCTATCCCTCCATATCCAAAATTCAGTTGAAATGGATCATTCACCTGATCACAAGAGCTAAAGCGGCCAAAGCCATGACATTTCTGTAACAGGGCTTCTCACCAGGCCACGGACATTGGGGCTGGAATACTTTGCTGCAGCAGGCTGCTCGACGCATTGTAAAGATGGTACCCAACAACCCAAGTCCTCACAACAATGACAGCTATGACACTGCCAAACTAAGGGGCAGAGCTGTTCCCAGTCGCCTGCTGGTCTACACGAGGGAGCAGAGCCAGGACTGTGTCAGGTAGCTCATTAATAAAACTATAAGCATCTTGGTCTAATGGTACAAGGATTCTTGTAAATATGTAAGACAAAATAAAACATGTACTTACACAGAACAGAACACGAGCATGTTTTTTTTACACGCTTTTTATAGGACACAGAAAGCACAAACTATGAAAGTATAAATCGGGGGTTGGGCATTTGCTTGGGATGCACACATCCCACATTGGAGTGCCTAGCTTCCAAGACTCCGTTCCACTCCTAATTCCAGCCTCCTGCTAGTGCATACCCTGGGAGGCAGCAGATGATGGCTCAAGTTAATTGGGTCCCTGCCACCCACATAAGAGGCCCAGAGTTGAGTTACCGATTCTTAGCTCCTGGCTTTGGCCCTGCCCAGCCCCAACTGTTACAGGCATTTGGGAAGTGAACTAGCAGATGAGAAATCTTTCGAATAAATTAAATAAATAAAATTTAAATATAAACAGATAACTAGGGCTTCTGCTAAAATCTGCTCTTTGAAAGACCATTCACTAGGCTAATCCTCCGCCTTTGGTGCTGGCACCCAGGGTTCTAGTCCCGGTTGCTCCTCTTCCAGTCCAGCTCTATGCTGTGGCCCAGAAAGGCAGTGGAGGATGGCCCAAGTGCTTGGGCCCTGCACCCGCATGGGAGACCAGGAAGAAGCACCTGGCTCCTGGTTTCAAATCAGTGCAGCGCCAGCCATAGCAGCCATTTGGGTAGTGAACCAACGGAAGGAAGACCTTTCTCTCTGTCTCTCTCACTGTCTAACACTGCCTGTCCAAAAAAAGAAAAAAAAAAAAAAAAAAAAGGCCATTTAAAACAAGGCAAGCCACAACCATACTGTAACACCTAAACATAAAAAAAGTACTTGAGTTGAGAACATACAAACCACTTAGAACTCAGTAAGACAAACAGGGCAATAGTACAGTAAAAATCAGAGGAGAGGCCAAAGCTGTTTTTTCACCAATGTAGATATACAAACAGTCAAGTGTCAGGGCAATGCAAACTAAAGCCAATGAGTTACCAAGAGAACACACACTACCTGAAACACTAGAAACAGCTATTTGGGGGAGCATATGAAGGAGTGCAGGGGGATATACAATGGTTTGAGAGCTGGTTAAGCGTGCAGTTGACATATCACCCAGCAGTTCCTCTCCAAGAAACTGACCTGATGAAACATGGCCACACAGACTTGTACAACTTTATTTCTAACAGCCCAACAAGCATCAACAAGTGAACAAGAATCCGACTTGTGCTGAGTGAGTCCGGGGAAGGGGCCCAGCAGCATCAAGTTCTAGCAATCCTCAGGTAATTCTGAAGTCGTCTACTTGAGAACCACTGATCTGGACAAACAGGATAATTTAAATTATCATTATTAAATTTCCTTTGGCTGAGCAGAATCGGAGTATCTTTCTGTTCAGCGGCTCTCTCCACTTTAAGTCTCGGTGAGTGACAAAGGATATCTTTCATTGCAGAAAATCTGCAAAATGTTGGATATTTGCCCTCCCAGCTACGCAACCTGGGTTCTGCCAGGCACTCTGAGGAGTTCACAGGCAGCTCGCATCTCTCCCTCAGTACAGGGGGTCAGTGACTCTGGTGTGCGGAGTGGGGATGCTGCAGGCAAGTCTCGGGGACACGTATGCTAGAGCATCAAGTGCCTGCAGGCCACCACAGGCTAGTCATCTGCAGACCAGCTGTGATGTATGGCTTTGAACTCAGTTTCAAGCTCAGTTTCCTAGTTCTCCTGAAGCTACTAGAGTTTTAAACAATATAGGACTATAGCAAGCTCCACCATTCTCACAACATGGCAGCAGAAACACCGTCCATCCCAATCTCATTCCAGGCAGAACGAGGACAAAAGTCACGTTATGAGGAAGTCCTAGGATACTTTCACTGTCACCTTCCGGGAAGGATACCCGGCACACAGCTTCAAGCCTGGCTGGGCTTTGGTGGGCAAGTACCCGCTCACAAAATCAGATATCTCTATGGAAAAGGAGCATGAGTAATGGCAGGCGGGGGACGCAGATCACCAGCAATCTTACCCTCACTCAACTGTCACTCTTAAATTAGCAAAATCCTTTGCAACAAATGATTCTGATTTACCATTACTTATCTAATTATTTTCAGTGTCCATGTCATTCACCAAAATAAAACATGATTCAGTCAGCAATGATACCTATGAAGTTGTATTTCCAAAATTAGGTGGATTAACCCATAGCATGAATCCAACCCTACCTCCCATTTCTCAGATTCCCTGGAAAACCTTACCGTAAATGCTCGTAACTGTGGTGAGTTTTGCACCTTTTCAGATGAATATAGGTACTGAAACACCGGCACTTCTTTGGGCTCCAAACAGAATAAGCTGAAATCTAAGCAGCACTGGTTTCCAATTTGCTACAAGGTGTTCTGCCAGGGCCACGAGGTGACCCTCCGGGGATCAGCACTATGAGCACGGGGCTCTGAGACAACTGGCATCCACGGAGCAGGCAAGGCAAGGCCGGGACAACAGCAGCACCTCTGGTCCCATGCCAGCTCCCAGAAAGAAGAGATGGAATAAAGGCAGTCCACTTCCAGGCTGATTTCTACAGAACGTGGTGTCTCTGTGTTTGCACACACCTGGGGACCTTGCCTGAGGGCCAGGTAAACCTAATGGCAGGGTCACCCAGACATCAGCCTTGCTCCCAAGGGACAGCTTGTATCAGCAGTAATTCTGAATAAAGTACACAAATATGTCTTGTCTTGTCACTGCTTTATTACTCAAAGATTACACGCAATATGACATATATAAAAGTCATCTTTAAAACAACCATGTTTGCTACAAAACTGGTTTTGTTTTCCTTTGCACCATGGATTCTGTACCACGGATAACCCGGAAACCTTTATATTAAATAGATTATTTATGTAGGCACTGGGCAAAAATTTAAGAACTTCTGAGTTTTCAACTCACCCCTACCCCCAAGAAGTCTCACCCTTATTAACATTAAAAACACTAAGAAAATACACATGTATTCAACTTTCTGTGAGTCTTTTCTCCCGGTTTTTACATATCCAAAGATGCTGGCTTAGTTATGAATTCAAAAGTTCTCCCAAAGTTCTAGTGGACGATTCATAGAGAAATCTGAAACACAAAGAAAGTACTCAGTTAGCTATGGAAGAAGTGATCAAATTATCTAAGGGTACATTTTAAAAAATTCAATTTAAAAAACGGCTTGAAACCAGATCCACTTAAAAATGCAGTGTTCACTAGTTGTGAGAACCCCACCGTGACGCAACACACGCACAGTGAGCCCCCAAAACGGCCCCATCCAAGCACTACCACTTGACTGCGTGTGCCCTCTTGGCTGTGGGGGGTGCTGCCGAATGCTTTCATTAATCAAAACTACCCTCAGTAATGAGGACCCAAATCACTGACCAGGTCTACAGCAGCCTAAGAAACTCTTCAGTATACCAGAAAACAAGGTAAATGACCCTTCCCTCCCACCAAATGCTGTTGAGACGTTCACCTGTCAACAACAACCTCAGACCTTTAGAAGCTCTCGCTCTCCCGCCCCCTCCCCATGTGCCCCAACATCACTTCCCCAGGTTGAGACTCTTGGGCCCTCCCACTGCTGCTCTGCCCACCCAGGACAAAGGCAGGTGAGATCACTTAGTACTTTTCTTCCTGGAGCATTACTCTCGCTTCCTTTGCAGTTTGTCTATTGCATGTCAAAAGTCACTACTGGACAGTATTAAACACACTCACGTAGCATATCACTGTTCTTGTAGACCTAAATATACACATATTACAAAGTGCATATATCACTATCGTTTTTTGTTTTATGTCTATAAACTCCTAGATGGTTCCAACATATGCTTGTTTGGAGTCTATTCCCAAGCACTGTCCTCAGAGGTATGTGGAGAAGCTAATCTGTGAATTCCTCCTCAACATGAATATCTTTTCATCCTAAATGATATCTTAGCTAGATTTAAAAACCCATACAGATGGGGCTGGCACTGTGGCACAACAGGTAAACAGTAGCCTGCAGTGCTGGCATCCCATATGGGCACTGGTTCGAGTCTTGGATGCTGTACTTCTGATCCAGCTCTCTGCTATGGCCTGGGAAAATAGAAGATGGACCAAGTCCTTGGGACCCTGCACCGGCATGGGAGACCTGGAGGAAGCTCTAGCCATTGTGGCCATTTGGGGAGTGAACCAGAGGATGGAAGATCTCTCTGCTTCTACCTCTCTGTAACTCTGCCTTTCAACTGAATAAATAAATCTTATTTAAAAAAAAAAAAAAAAAAAAAACACACACAGTCTCAAGATCTGGGTGGGGAACCTTTTTTTCTGCCAAGGGCCATTTGGATATTTATAACAGCATTCACGGGCCAACAAAATTATCAACTTAAAAATTAGCCTGCTACAGACCTATTGAACTTTGAGTCCTTCCTGTGTTTGCTTTGACAGGGCCACACCAAATTACTTTTCTGGCCG